GTCACTTGCCCAAAGCCCTATACCCTGAAAATGGTAGAGCTAAGATCTGAACCCAGGACTTGTCTAACGCCAAAGCCCAGGCTCAGATCCATCATGCTTTCATTGTAAGAGCTGCTGGGACTCAAGAAACTGGCTCCGAGGGAAGCTTGTAACAATTCAGTGATCACTTCACTCTGGCACCTCACTTTAGCCAGTAAAAGAGACTCCACAGGGTTTCACCAGAGAGGAAACAGGCCTGTGTTTACAGCCCTTCAGAGTGAAAGATCAAGGCCACGTGCCAAAGAACAATGACTATTTAGTCACACAAAAGCCCAACTGAATCACTGGAGCCAAAAGCTTCATTTCCTTATCAGTTTTTTGTGCTTCCTCTAGTTCCATCTCATCCTTTAAATATTCTACAAATAAGAGAACAGCATATTCTCACACTAGCCACAACTGGGCTTTGTCTGAAGTATGGATGCAGGACAGGTCACCAAGAGGTTGAAGCTCCGGTTTCACTGAGAACACATCAAGGACAGGGCAGGTGACCAGGAAAACCAAATGAACAGTTTCCTGGTCCTGCAGGTGATAAAGAGGGTAACCAGGACCAAGGGGAGCTAGGATTCCTTTCCCAGAGGCCCTTTTCCTTCCTTCACTCCGGCCCCCTCTGTACCCTGTGAAGAAATTCTAATTATCTTTACTTCTCCTGACATCACTGGAAACAGTGCCCTAAAGGAAGTGGTGGCAGGGCTCAGCCCACTGGCAACTTACAGAGGTTCCTTGTGCTTCCCAGTCTTGCAGGGACAGTGTCTGTAGATGGCTTTGGCCAACAGGACGATCAGGTACACCAGGAGACCCAGAAGCAATATGGAGCCCAAAGTGATGACAAAAGGCACATACCATGCTGATGGAGAATAAACATTTCTCCTCAGGATCTGGTAGATGATCTTGGGCTTGAAAGACAGAGAGGTGGGGGTGTGAGTGGAGGGTGGTAGTGTTTCTGACATCAGCACTCCCACAGGCTGAGTGTTTGTTTCAGTCTTTGTTATTGTTCTCTAAATTCACATCTATGTCCTCATAGTTCTTGCTGCTTCAACCCATCACCTTATTTATAGTCTTTCCAGACATCCATTAAATCAAAACCCAAAAAATTTAGGGAACTAAAAAGCAACTCTAGGCCTAATTTTATTCTCTGTCTTTCTTCCCCTTCCCAAAAGCTAAAAATTCCAAAGGCTTCTCCCCTGCCAAATCAGGGCATAATCCAGGGATGAATATAGCCGTTGTCTCTCACTGGGAAGGCGTGAGCCATGGGCGTTGTTTTTGTAACACTTTGTAGGTTTGTCAGTGTTCACTCACTACAAGCTGCACTGCTATGAGTGGGCTGCTATCACAGTGAAACCTCAAGTTCAGCATTTGCTTCTTAGAGTGGGAGACCGATAACAAACAAGTAATGGAGTTTTCAGGAATACAGATGCCACAATTGGGGCATGTTGTAAGCCCCAGAAAGGGGGCAATGCCTCACTCAGAAAAGCTTACTGGCTCCTACCACAACTGAAAAGACCTTAAGGGTACCTTATGCCTCCATTCCCTGGGGTAATATTGACTCAAGCCCATGGATATGAACATTCACTCGCTCTTGGTAACACCCTGAGAAGCAGAATTGGACCATTTGTCATACGTGGTTTTCTAAGGTTCTGATTACTTTTCCTCCGGCATACTACAAGTATGGGGCTGCCAACCAAGGGCGTAACTTTTACCAGGAACAGGAGGAAAGGGGACAAAAGAGTCATCACAAATATAAGCCAGTTCCTCCAAGGTATAGGGGGAGATAATCCTGTTGTCAGATTCCAAGACTCCCCCTTCCTTTGTCACACTGGTTCTATTATGGCACCCGCTTATTTTTCTTCCTACCATTTACCACAATCTGTAGTTACTTTATTAAATTGCATACCTATTTGTAACCTATCACCCCCTCTAGATCAGTGGCTCTCAAATTTAGCACACATCAGAACCCCCTGGAAGACTTATTAAAAACATAGATTGCTGGACGTCACCCTCAGAGTTTCTGATCTATTAGGTCTGGGGATGTATTTGGGGATCCCAGGCTCCAACATCCTTTCCAAGCGGTTGTGATGATCATGGTTGGGTGAAGTGTAACTCCAATATTCTGGAGTGGGCCCAGAATGTGCATTTCTAACAAATTTCTAGGTGGTGCTGATGTTGCTGGTCTGGGGACCACACTTTGGGAACCACTGACCCATACTATGAGTTCCAGAGAGCAGAGATCATTTGGGGCATGTTCAACAAAGTGATTGGCATATTATAGGTCTTAAATCAATACTTGTAGATTGAATGAATCAATTTAAATGGAGTGAAGATGGGAAGTAGGGTACAGACTGGTGCATGGTAAATCTTTAAAAGAAGTGGAGGGAAGTACCTGGTGGCTACCTGCTTTCATAGACATGGACTTGTCATGGCTCTTAAGAGCAAGCAGAGAAGAGCACATGCCCATGAAAGTTGTCTTTTGTGCCGCAAGCACTGTAGGTGGTCAGTACCTGCTCTATCACAAATCCCTGCACCAATGCACACCCTTATTTACCAGAAGAGGAAAAGTTCATGGCTCTGTAAGTCGCAGGTCTCACTCAGGTCTTCACCACCCAGTGACTACTTCAGTCCAGCCACCCATGATTTCCATTCCAGCAACATCCTAATATATCAGCTCTTTTCAGTTCATCCCCCATTTCTCCTGGGCCAAAGGGCTCCATCAATGTTAAATCACAAGGGATGTAACTGGGGTGTCCCGCTCCCTAAGCCCTTACCCTGGGGGTTGTGACAATCGTGGTTGGGTGAGGAGTGACACTAATAGTTAATGTCACTGTCCCTGTTTCAACAAGCGCCTCAGCTTTCTTCCTGCCAGACAGCAAGTTGTCATCAGTTATGTAGATGAGTAGTTTGTAGTCCCAGATCTTATCAAGCCCACCAATATAGTCAAAGGGAGTTGCAAGGAGCAGACGTGTAACGTTGGACCCAGCATTGGGAGAGAAGGTGAAATGACTGTTGACGTTGCCTAAATGAGATTTAAGACAAGGATTTGGGGTAAAGGAAGAAAAGAGAGTGAGAAATGAAAGTTTAGAGGAAAACCGCAGCCAGTCTTTCCCTAAAGGTCCAGACCTCAGGGGTAGACTGAGCTTCTGATGCACCAAGGTTGTGATATTGACCTTAATAACTACACCAGAGATTTCATTAACTGCGCAAGAATGTACAAAAGACACTCTTGTTCACAACCAGTGTGTCTGCAACAAGAATGAGAGCAGAAAAGGACAACAGCACACCTGTCCCAGGAGATGGCCACCATTTTGCAGCATCAGGCAGAGAGATTTCATAATCCTGGCCTCTCTAGCCAGTCCTACCATCCAGCATTTCTTCGGTAACAACATGTAACTCACTCGCAGACCAACGAGTGGGCAGCAAGAGGATAGAGGGGCCCACATCCCCAGCCATAGGCCAAGCTCACTCCATTCCATGCCTTTTGTGGAACCTGGCCGGTCACACTAAACTGGTGATACATGTCCCTGGAGTTCTCCTAAACTTTAACCTGTGGGTCATGACCCCTTTGGGGGTCGAATGACCCTTTCACAGGGGCCACCTAAGACCATAGGAAAACAAAAAGATACTTATATTATGATTCATAACAGTAGCAAAATTACAGTTATAGAGTAGCAATGAAAATAATTTTATGGTTGGGGGTCACCACAACATGAGGAACTGTATTAAGGGGTGGCGGCATTAGGAAGGTTGAGAACCGCTGCCCTAAAGGAAGGTGCCTCCTGGCTTTGCAGGGGTTGCAGTCCCAGGTCCTCCTGAATCCACCCCATTCCTGCCTCCCCTGCAGTCTGTCAGGGCTCACGGCTCACAGCTCAGAAAACCGGGCAGGGAGACTCCCCCCAAAACGGCTCCTGTTCATTCCTCCAGTGGCTCCAGACTCATTACCTACTGAAAACCAGTAAATGGAGCAGGAGATGATGCAATTTTTACTCCCTTAGCAGCGAAGTGCTCCATAAAGGCCCGAGGGTTCTCAGTATGGATTATTTCTGTCTTCCGCAGCTGCAGTCTCTGCCCCTGGGTTTTGTGACACAGCCTGCTCCAGAGGCTTCCTGCTGTTCCGAGTTCACGCTCTGCCAGCGCTCAGCAGGTGGCTCAGATGGGTTTTCAGCCTTTCCCATGGAATTGCTCTGCGTGTTTGGGTTTAAATCTCTGGCCCCAGCACTTCATTAGATGAGCTATTTTGGTCTCATTTCCATTGAGGGGTGCTCTTTTTATTTTCCCCCACAATGGTATATTTTTAAAGAGAGAAAATGAATGGAGCAGAAGAGAATTCCTGAGGACACATTTCAAAATGCATTAATCTAGTTAATCTATTATTATCCAGAGAGAGGACTGGGATTCCCTGCCCCCACTACAGCTTGCAGGAAAAGAGGAGGTTGAGCAGTTGGGCTGAAAAACTTTTTTTTTTTAAATATTTTATTGGGAAATTGGGGGAGGGGAACAGCATTGGGGAACCAGGGAAGAGGAACAGACAAGTTGCTGTCCTTTTTTTCTTCAGTCTAGTTGTGGAGGACGTTGCTTCACTGGCCCATGTTGGTATTATCATTGTGCTCTTCCCAGGTGAGGCAGTCGCTGGCTGGCCATTGGACGGCTGCTCACGGGCTCACGGCAGCTCATGAAAGCGCACGCCAGCTGCTGGCCAGCCCCACTGCAGCCTATGCCATTGCTGGCAACTCACGGCAGCCCAGCTCCAGGTAGAGCTGTTGTTCATCATCTTAGCTGTAGAGGGCACAGCGGCACTGGCCCTCATGTAGGATCCCAACCGGGGTCCTGCTGCTCAGCGCTGGCGTCCCAAGCCAGCGCCATTCGGCCGGCCCTGAAAAGTTTTTTCAATGACACTCGTATGATTCATGAATCATATGATAGTCTGGGAATTTGTGGGGGCCAAGGGGGTCACCATCAATGGGATTCACCCTCCCTTGGTCCTTTGGGCAGCCTTGTGTGGGAGTCTGGGAAGACTTAGGTGAGAAGGGGAAGCCAAGAGGATGACCGGGAGGCACTGGGACCATTACCCCACTCACCCTTGCTTTACTTTCTGCCTTCACAGTCCCCTACTCATACACACTGTGTCCACATCAGCATGTGAGCACAGACCCCCACCCACACCCCCACCACATTCTCCCTGAACTGCAGCTAAGGCTTCCACCCTAAGAACTGGACCAGGGCTGTCGATGTCAGGCACTGTACCTGGGCCAATGGAGTAACGAAAAGACTTGGGGCTGGAATCACGATCAGTACATTGCAGCTTGAAATTTTGAATATTTGTGCCAACTTTCAAATCCACTGGGATGGCCAGGAAATAAGAGTTTGGGATACAAACTGGCTTTTCATCATTTTTTTCCAGGATGTTTACAGTAACCTAGAACAGCAAAAACGTGGCCATTGTCAGCAGCTAAAACTTACTGAGTGCTTGCTGTGTGCCTGCCAGGCCCTGGGCTCTGCACTTGTGTGGACTGGCTCATCTAACCTTTCCTGGAATAAATAATATGATCATTTCCATTTTACAGGTGAGGAAACAGAGGCTTAGAGAGATAAGGTAATTGACCTAAGGCCATTCAGCTGGTGAGTGCCAGAGCTAGGATTTGAACGCAGGTCTGTCCTACTCCAAGTCCTACACGACTAACTTCTAAACAGTGTACACACATGTACATACTATATGTATACATTCACATATCTCCACACACATGCATCAAGACACATGAGGCTCATCCCTAGATAATGCTGAACTGTTTCCCCTGTAATGGTTATGGATTTATGGCGATCCCGTGTACTTCCTTGCTCACTGTCTTTGTGAATCAGAAGTTGCATCTTTAATTTTGGGATATAGAGTGATGGTTCTAAACCCCGGCTCTACTTTCTTAGTATTGGGCTCTGCAGGGTGGAGCCCAGGCACTTTTTTTTTATGTCCCCCAGCTGGTTCTAATATGCATCCAGGGTCAAGAATCACTGGGCTGGAATGTGTGCACCTGACTAAGCCGGGATCTCACCTGTGCACGAGCTGGTGGCACTCACCTGCCACAAGCAGGGCCAGCCTATTCTCTTTCATTGCTGTCTCTTATGCCAGGTGAATTGGAATATGGGCTGGGACGCCTGCCAGCACAGAATCAGAGACTGTCAGCCCTGAAAGGGACTTCTGTGATCATCACCTTTTTAAAAAGCTTATACATTTTGAGTCGTATATATTCTACCTTTGACATTTGGAGATTTCAGCTATTTCTGAGCCTGGGAATAAATTGAAATATTCACTCTAGTTAGCTCCCAAAGTGGAATCCATTCATTTTTCTCAAAAAGCAGACTTAACAAACACTACAATTATCTCCAATTTAGCCCATCTCTTCCTCAGCATGCAGTGCTGAGCCTCACGCATCATTAAAACCAACGTCCCGTTAATTCAAAGCAAGTCATGAGAGGAACGGAACTAGTCAGGCATTGGGTGACTGGGCGACTCACCATTTAAGAGATCAAGAAATTGGGATACAAAGATGATAAGCATGGCTCAGGCCCCCTCGGAAAATTGGGATCAAAGTTGAGAAATGAACTCGGTCTCCTGACTCTGAACCAGTCATTCGCTCGATCACACAGGCTGCCTGCTGCTAGCTCAGAGTTCATTTTGTCGTATGCTTTTTCACTTTACTAGTGGGAAAGAACAAGAAATAGCTCCATCTTTGTGGCTATCATATTACCCTCAGATAACCCTCATCACTGACGACACAGACCTGAAGAAACTTTTTACTCAGAGTGCAGCCCTGGACCAGCTGCATCAGCTCCACTTGGAAGCATGTTAAGAATGCAGATTCTCAGGCCCTGGTCAGACCTGTGGACTCTGATTCAGATTCCAACATCAAAGGTTGAGAAGCAGTCTCAACCATGTCAAGCCACATCATTTTAGGATCTACCCTACCTGGTGTGATGGGGATGGGGTAGAAAGATGTCAAAACTATTAGGAGGCGGGTAAGAAATGCATAGCTACAAAACCACACCCCACTTCTGGCAGCGTGTATCTCACCACCAGCCCAGCTCCAGAGCAAAGGGAGATTTAAAGGGCAAGAGGAGAACACTTGTCCCACAGCGTGGCCGCCAATCTCAGCACTCAGCCCAGTCCCCCACACACTTGAGTGTCAATCTTTATTTCCTGGGCACTGATCTGTGTGTCCAATTGTGCTGTCCTGGACACCACTAGTCAGTCATCTCCTGTCACATCTGCAGGATGTGCCCTAATGAGCTTCCTTACTGCTATAGTCACACCTGGAGGGTTCCAGAGAGACCCTAAGCCAACCATCTGGGCTGGTGTGAATGCACAAAACAGCCCCACTCACAGTGACTGAGCTTGTGTCCTCGCTGTTGGTGGCCTGGATTACGAGAATGTAGATGGGGGTTGTTTCGTAGTCCACTTTAGTCACCAGCTGGAGTTCTCCAGTTTTGGGATTAATCCAAAATATGTTTGGGTGCTGGAGGCTGGCCCCTCCACTGGAGATGGAGTACACGATGCTGCTCTGGGGGAAGTCTTTATCAGTGGCACGCACCTGTCCAATCCGGGTTTTAGCTGGAAGAATAAAGTACCTGAGATTAGTCCTGCTTTAGGGGGTACAGGGAACATCTAGGAGCAGACATTCTTATTTCCATGCGCAGAAACGTTTGCAGAGGCCCCTTTGCTGTTCAAACTCTCTGTGTCTTATATTTTCAATGCTATTACATTCAAATTATATGAATGAACACCCACTAGGTCACTGACCTTATGATCCAAGCAGTACTGTGAGGTGTAAAAGACAGTTCATGCCTTTATACAGACTCGAAGTATGCCAATCATTATGCTATCATAAACAACCCTGCAAAGAACTTCCTCACACATACATCTTTTTGCAACAGTGTTGTCTTAAAATCTTTTGTATTTTTCACATTTTCTATAACAAACATGAATCGTTCTTATACACAAGATAAAAAACAATTTTAAGAATTTTGTAACAGGATGACTGAGTATAAATTTTTAAATACTGTTCCATTTTGTTTATTTTACAAATCTTGTTGGTGGGGCTGCTGGAATTCTGGCTTATTTGTTTTGTAGAAGTCCTTTTTCATAAATTGGACTCCTCAAGGGCAGAAACCTTCTCTTATTCAACTACATAGCCCCAGAAGTAAGCGCTTGACCCAAAGCAGGTGATCAATAACTGTAGGGAGATCTGTGAATTCATAAAAAGTCTGTTCCTGTTCCATTTGTTATTCGCTGGTGAAAAATTAAAAGTGTTTCCTTCAGATCCGCTTTTTGTGTTTTATTTAAAATGTAATGTCAGGAAATGGAAAACATCATAAAGAGAGAGAATAAAATGGTGAAGAGGTGATTTTAGAGGGAGTGTTTTGGCTTTTTGTTTGTTTGTTTGTTTGTTTGTTTGTTTGTTTGTTTCAAATATAGAAGTATCCATGATAAAAGGATCAAACACTGTAGTGAAGTCTGATTACAGTAGATCTAACAGGACCACCTCCAAACTGTAAGAGATGGGGAGAAACTGAAGCTGGAAATGGGGAAACCTTTCTTTAAGGTGAGAAGATCCTGCAGAAATCCAGGTGTTATAAAGGGCAAAAAGGAGGCTTCCAGTGAATCCTATTAAGGGAGAGAGAAAATGTCTTTATTTTGTTTTTAAATGAAGGAACTCTAGGAATGGAAAAGATTTTCTCTATTTTTAAATTTTAATTTTCTGAGTGAGCTGGATAAAAATCACAGTGGAAACCAAGGGAAAACTTTGACTACAAAAGAAAAAAAGGATTAGAGGAATCAGACACACAGACAAGGAAGCAATCAGGGGTTCAGAGAAATGTAGTTTAATCAACAGTTTTCAAAATCTAGATTTCACCTGAAGGGTTCCTCAGCACTGAGGACAATTTAAAGAGAAATAAGAGATGCAATAAACACGATTCAGCCTGTGAGTCTCTGTGCACACCACCACTCAGGCCCTCTGGAAGGCAGCTTCCCCTCTGCTAAACAAATGTGCATCTAAATGGAACCCGTTACGGGCACTGTGGCCTGTTTCTCATCTGTTACTTACCTGGGCTTAATTCTGACAAGTCAAACATGTAGGATGGCTGATCAAAAACAAGAGGAAACTCATTTTCTGGGCTTGTTAGGACATAAATGTAGATTTTATCTGAAGACAGAAATAGAAAAAAATTAAATCACAATATTCTAGCCTCATTGACTAGTTTATTCAATATTTTAAAAGCATCTTCTGTATAACAGGTTCCGTGCAAAATATTGGGGATACAAGGTGAATAAGACCTGGCAGTTTCTGCCTTCAAGATGCTTAGGGTTGTTGCCTTTTGATATGTACATGTCACTATGGAAGTCGGAAAAAATGCAAGCTGAAACTTACAAGGTTAATTAGAGCTGGGGGTGATGCTAGGCATATGCAAGGATAGCAAGGTATAAAACTGCATGATTCACTCAGAAAAACTGCAAGCTGTTGGCCTAGTTAGAAAAACAGGGGGGTAGGGGCAAGCGACTAGAGCTGAAGCTAGAGAGTTAGGGAGGAGCCAGATGATGAGAGCACTTGTTTGCCAAGACAAAGAGTTTGAACTTGAACTTGACAGTTATGGGAGACACTCAAGGGCTTTAATTTTAAGCATGGAGGTAATATGATGGCATTTGCAATTCCTGAAAATCACTGTCAGAAATGTGGAGGATGCTTTGGAAAGGGACAAGAATAAAGGCAGGCAGACTGATTCTGAAAGACTCTCGGTGTTGTAAGTCAGCCAAGAAAGAGGAGGTTCTTCTGCATTAGAGCAGTACTAGTGGGATGGGGGTAGGGCAGGGAGAAGGCAGCAGATCCTTGAGATTTTAGGAGGTGACACAGAAGAAAGGACTTGGCGACCAATTAAATGTGCCTGATGAAGGACAGGAGGAGGCTGGGCTGATTACCAAGTGTTTGGGTTTTTTGAAGTCTCCTTTTGAAAACAAATACCTAGCCCGATACTGAGTATTGCCAAGCACTCTAGTCATTGCTACTCAAGGAAGGTGCTTCATGAAATAAATCAAAATGATACTTGCTTTTATAGTAAGGAGGGGCAACATCCTGCACCTGGATTGTCACAGTGTATTTATTGCCGACTGCTAGATTACTTGAATTTTCATAATCTAGATCACCAATCAACTAGATGAAAACAGAGATATCAATCAATCCTTTTAAGTGAACTGACAATATTGTCATATCTGTTAGTGGAAACGTAAATTGGAAAACCTTTCTGGAAAGCATTTTGCCCACATGAAGAGCTTTGAAAAGTTACATGCATACCTTTACTCACTGCTAGATAATTTATCTGAAAGAATTTACAAGGAGAGAGAATCTATGTTTAAAGATGCTCATCAAACACTCTTGTCCAACAGCATAGGCTCAAGATTTCAGCTTAGTTGAAAAGAAGCATGATATAGACTCCTATATGCAGGGATATTTTCATCATTTAAAATACTTATGCATATATGGATAGAATACACAAAATTTGTGTACATGGAAGAAGACCAGAAGGAAATATATCAAAATGTTAACAGTGGTTAACACTGAATGGCAATGCTTTCCTGTTTTTCTACACTTTCTACAGGGATCATGTATTCATTTCATAAAGAGAAAAAAATAGAAATTGTTTCTTAGCTGACACTATGAATAAAATTGGTAAGACTTTCTTGGGGATTGAACAAGGGCTTGGGATGGGAGATGGAGAAGGAAGTGGGTGGGAGGATGCCGAGTGGGCTGCTTGCTCTCCTCCCAGAGGCTTTATCTCTGATGCAAAGACCCCTTAACCAGGACCACTCCCTTCCAAGACCTGCCCCCCACAAACACACACCTTCCTTTGACCTTCCATTTTTCTCTCCTCCTTCCCAACACCCTCCAGCAGGAACAGTGTAGGTAAAGGTCTCACACAGCTCATTGAGACGGGACTTTTACACCCATCCTGCTTCCAGCTCTGCTTTTGCCCCCATTGAGATGCTGTGGAATGGAGCTACCGTCACAGCCTCACTTTCTCATTCCCCTTTGGGTCTACAGTGGTTCCACAAGGCTGAATTTAGCAGGACACACACACGCATGGCTCTGGACCTGCTTTCTCACCCCTCACACCTCCACGGGCCAGGAAGGGGCACTCAAGTGCACAGAGTGCTTGAGCCCAGAGGTGCTAACGTGACTGTAGAGGCAGCTAAGTCAGCGTGTGAACTGCAGCTATGCACAAGTCCAAGAGCTATCACTCTGGGCCCAACTATGCATAACAGATGATTCCCAGAAGTTGGGTAAAATTAAGAGCAAATGGGGAAAACAGAGTCATTATTAAGTTTGTCAGTTACAACCTCTCAGAAAGGGAGCTACCTTGGAAATTTCTCTCTCTGGGGCAGCAGAAGCACTATGCAAGTTAGACCAGCTTTCCCCATGACCTTTCAGTGATGCAATGACCGTTCACTGACCACAATTTTCCCAGAGCCAGCTGGATCCTGTAAAAACCTGCTGCTGCTCCCCACTCCAGATGGCGCAGTGAAGTTGAATTGGCTGTTTGGTGCTTTGCTGTCATCATCAAAGCAGACCATGTTCAGGTCCAGAAGCAACGTCCCTTTGGCTGCTCTTTCAGGCACCATAATGCTGGTGAAGAGACAAGATTCAATTTTTTCCCCCAATACATTGTGATTGAACGTACTGTCTGAGATAAGCCCTAGGTTAGGCATCTCTGCTTTAATTTCAATTCAAAGCAAGTCCATGGTTATTGCAGTAACTGCCTAACTGGAGTCTGCTCTGCCCTGGTCTCCTTCCAGACTGTTCTTAACACAGCAGCCAGAGAGATCCCGTTAAAATGATGTCAGGTCATGTCACGCCCCTGCTCCTAAATCCAAATGGCTCCTCATTTTATTCCAAGTCCTCACTTTGATCCACAGGACCTTTTATGATGTGCACTAACCCCCTTCACCCTTACCTGTCTGAACTTATCACCTCTTGTTTACTCTACTCCGGATACTCTGGCCCCCTGGTGCTCCGTAAATATTTCCCAGGCTCTGGGCTCAGGGCAATTCCACTCACTGTGGGATGTGCTTCCCGCCAATGTCCATAGGGCTTGCTCTTTCACTTTCTTTAGTCTCTAATCCAATGTCACCTTCTCAGGAGTATATCCTGGCAACCCTATCTAAAATGTCAACAACCCCTGCCCATTGCTCCCTCTCTCATTCCCCCCTTTATTTTTAATTCTGGGCACTTATCATTTTTGATTATACTACAGCTCATTTATTTATCCTGTGTATTACCTTTTCCCCACTAGATTGTAAGCTCCACAAGGGCAGGGACCTTTGTCTTCTTTGTTCTGCGCATGCTCAATAAATACTTGTTGAATGACTGAATGGTAGCTTATGAGACTAGCACAGTAGTGAAGAAGAATATAAAAAGAAAAATAGAAACTCTGCCCCTGCCTGCAGGAGTTTATAGTCTGTACCCCTACACCCCTCACCTCTTATGCTTTGAAGATTGGGAATTCCTCCACTTGTGTTATAATGGCTTTGATGTCATAGAGGGGCCTCCTAACACCTTAGCATCATTCATTCAATAGAGGTTTATTAAGAGTCAAATTCGGAGGTCCCAATCTCCATTGACCCCAGGGTCGAGGCCAATAGCACAAATAAGCAAAGCTGACCACATACTGGAGCCATCTGGTCAAGCCCAGCTTGGTATGGGAGACTGAGGAGGAGTGATTAACACCTCAAGGCTCAGTTCATTGAGGGATGCTATCATGCCCCCAGGTTTCAGTTTTTCCATCTATAAATGATGTCAGTTAGCTTTTGCTACCTAACAAAGTAGCTCTCAAGTTAGTGGCTTAAAACTACAGACATTTATTGTTTTCTGTAATATTAAGGGGTTACCCATTAGTTCTTTTGGCTCTAGTCCAGCTTGGGCACTGTGGTCACTGGCAGCTTGGCTGGGTCTGGATGGTCTAGGATGGACTCGTTCACACATCTGGTTGTGGGAAAGTGGTTTGTCTCTCCTTCATGTTGTCTCTCATCCTCCAGGAGACTAGCCCAGCCTCTTTATATGGAAACCTCAGGCCTCCAAAAGTAGCAAAAGAGGGCCAGCCCCGGTGTATACATACCCTTCGGGCCTCTGCTGTGCCACGTTTGTGAATGTTCCCATGGCCAAAGTAATCGATGTAGTCAAGTCCAGATTCAGGAAGAAAGAAAAACCCATCTCTTGATGGGCGGAATGGCAAAATCACATTTCACAGGGGCATACATACAGGCAGGGAGGGATTTGTGGTTGGTGTTTCCGTTTGGGGTTTGTTTGGGGAGGGTTTGTTTCTTTTGGGTTTTTCTTTTCTTCTTCTGTTTCTTTTTCTTCTTTGTTCTTTTTCTCCTCCTCCTCCTCCTCCTCTTCCTCCTCCTCCTTTCCTCCTTCCTCTTCCTCGTTTCCTTCTTCATCTTTTTTGCTACCACCTACCTCAATCATATTTTGTCTTGGGCAGAATGTCTTACAAAAAATATATTGTGGTTGCCATGAGAATGTTCCTGGAAGATCCGTCACCACAGAAACATAATTGACCATAGACCCAGCTGCCATACTCTGAAATTCATCGCTGTGTTTGCAGTGAGTCTGTGTGCCAACAGCTGGGCGTGGCAGAGATACTAAGGCAGGCTTATTGCTGTTCCATGACAGCTGACTTCGGCTCCAGGTTTCCATAGAGCCCTAGCCAAACCGTCCATAGATTGCACGGCAGGCGAGAACATTTCTGCCCACCTTCCCTCCCCCTTTTGTTCACTCAGGTCAGACTTGCATCGTGGGCTGAGGACTCTCTCAGTCGTGTCTAGTTCTTTCCTTATTGTCTCCTGCAGGCATTTCCACTAACAAAAACCTTGCACATTTAATCCTGTCTTGGTATCTTGTTCTCATAGCACCCAGACTAACATGTATTAAGTTCTTTAATCCTCTGTACTATCACCTCTCTCTGCAACCAAATTATGTCCCCTTTGACACTCCACGTCATCCCTTAGCGGCAGCTAAAATGGGCTCTGGGCTCAGAAACACGGAGCAAAGTCTGTCAGCAAGGATGGTTTCGGGCTGCTGAGGATAACTGGGTTTGCTTCTTGGAAAGCGGTTTATCTGACAGATGTAACTCAATCTCCATGATGCCTCATTGGCAAAGATTTCAACAGGATTGGAGTCCAAACATTTCCATTCCTGCCTTGCACGCACAATGTCACGGTTTTATTTATAAGTACTTAGACTAGATATCATTTATTAAGCACCAACAATATGCTGTATCATTCCAATCACTTTGAAAACACTATCTCTAATTCCCTCATCTCTAAGAGGTTTGTATGCTTTGTCTTCATTTATAGGTGAAGAAAGGGAGTGGTTTCAAGACCTGTCCAAGAAAGCCGATGCATCCAGGCACACTTCTCTATTGTCTGTGTTAGTCACCTTAAATTCTATTTCGAGTTCCATGAATCAAGGAATCTCAAGGCCCACAGACAGTTTGGGAACCCACACCTTGATTTCAACTCTGCAGAGGCCAGAAGGTTGCATCATCCAAAGAACCCAGGCTCCTGCAGCTGGACATTTCACACACTCCAGAAGAGTTCTCCGCACTCCGTCCCTCAGGGCTGCCTGGCATGCTCTTTTCATTCTTCCCTGACACTTGGTATTTTCCCCCAAATCCTGGACTTAGAAAACCACTCCCCCTCATCCATCAATCCCTGCCTCACAGGCGGGCTGCCCTGCCTCCCAGCCATCTGACCACAGTTCCCTCCCCAGGCAAAGGTGACGGCCCCCCCTGAATTCTGAATCAGCTGACCTTCTCTGCTTCTGGCTCACAGCTTGCAAAGCGTTTTCAGCGGAGTGCCTGACAATTTAAAACCAGGGCAAGGACTGTCACAGGCCTTTGATGCCTCCATCAGGGCCCTGGGCTCATTCATTACCAGCCTGGGAAAACGCAGGGGCCTCAACCTAAGGGTTGTTTCCATCCCTGCCCAGCCCGAGAGTCCCCATGGGACAGCGGGAGGCCAGGCACACAGGGGCCTGCCTCTCCCACACATAGATGCTGGTTCCCTATCACCCTCTTCTATATGCTCTCCCAATCTCGGCTACAGGGACCGCACCAAGAGCACTGAAGAAGTGAATATTTAGGGCCCGTGTTATTAGAGGTAGTGGTAGCCCCAGTCCTGTTGTTTGGTTTGGTTGGGACCTGCCTATGTGCCTCTGCTCTGGCATTGTGGGAATGGAGATGGTGGTAAGGATGGGAGGATGGTGGGTGATGCAGGGTCAGGGTTTCCCAGCCCCTGGACTATGCAAATGAGCCTGGGTTTTGAAGTAAAGACCTCCACTTCTAGGACTTCAAGGGAAAGGGCCCTTTTTTGGTCCCTTCTCACATCTTGGCTTTCACAGGATTGTTGCAAGTAACTCTCACTGGAAAAGCCCAGAGAAGGGACCTGAGTGTTTTTTAGAGCTACCTTCACTTATAAATACAATTAGTCCAGTTACTCATTGGCATTGACCTTAGGGCTAATTTAGAGAGGAGATGATCAAGAGCAGGATTCTGCATGGGCTTGCCTGGACAGCCTTTAATATTCAAAATGTGATTTTACGCGCTAATCTGGAATGCAGTCTGCAAACTGTCATTCCACACACCAGGGGACTCTGGACTGCAGGAAGCCACAGTGTGCACTTAGCAGAACTGCACCAGAGGGAGAAAGCTGACAAGGAAGGTTGGAGACAGCACCGTCCTCTTCAGTTACTGATGCCCAGAGTTCTTCCTGCTGAATCCCTATCCCCTTCCTCTCAAGGGAGGGAAACAGAAGAAGAGCAGGAGGGCTTAGAAGGGCAGGAGGTTAGGAGACTAATTCCCTAGGATACCCTGGAGCCACCCAAGAATGCTAGCATAGATTTAGATTTCCAAAGAAAGTAGAGGTATGACTCTGCATTTCACTTCTATTCCATCCCCAGGGCCCAGACTTCTCTTAACAAAGGTGGGTTTGATTTATGCATGTAATGGGGTGGAAGTCACAATGCTAACTACCCATGGCAATGATCTCCACCCATCAAACAGACTCTGAGGTTAGGGTTGGGATAGGATCCTATCCCATGGTCAAGGCTATTACTGACTTGATCGGGGCTTCAACAGAAAGCAGGTGGCAAATTAGGATAATTCTAGGGGAGGTTTAGTAAAGGGATTATTACAAATGTACACACAGAGAACATGGAAATCTTAAAGGATGGTGCAATATCTCAGGGCTGGTAAGAGTGGAGATTCCTTACATCTCTAGGCCTGGAGGAGCCAGTGAGCGAGCAGGTCCTAAAACCAGAAGCCAGGGACAGAGTCCTGTGTGCAGAGGGCATCCTTATAGAAACTGAGACCTTCAGGAAGTGGAGGGATGTATCCAGTTCACAGGGAGGGAGCCAGGGGGATAAGTATCCTGACATCACCCTCCCCTCCTTCCAGGCTCCCCACTGGCCAACCAGAAGCTGCAGACAAAGGAGTCAGTTGATATCCATACAGATCAGCCTCTTGAGGCACAGAGCAGGGCGGGAGGCTACAGGCTGGATCTGAGGGGTCGGTAAGATGTGTCCAGAGCAGGGTTCACGGGTTTTGATATCAAACTCAAGGCCACACTGACTCTTGGCATTGTGTGGGGCATGGCAAGTAGAACAGGGAGATAGTTACCTACAAAATAAAGGAATTCATATTTCCATTGCTTGCCCTAGACAATCTTTGTCTAGGGTCCTTTGTCCTTTGCATAGCCACACTACGCATTGTGTCTGTCCAAAGTCACCTGAAGTTTAAAAAGTCAACTTGCAAAACCAGTCAAACGTAAACTCAGGAGACTCTCTCCATGGGAACATCTGAAAGTGAGACCTGCACTGGTGTCAGCCTTGTTCCAGATGCCAGGGCACTCTCTCAGCAAGGGTAACCATAGAGGTGCCCTCCCTGTTCCCAAGATGAGTGAGCCACCTTCAGATTCCCAAGAAACTGGAGATTAGCTGGTCTGAAACCACGATGGAGATGAAGCTAACACAGGGACCTACTAAAGTTGTGATATTTAGACAAAATAGTTGGTAGAAAGACAAGTACTGTTTCAAAAAGTCATATTAACCCAGAATCACAAGAGGCTTTATTTTAAAATAATGGTGAATAGATTGTGCAACAAAAAACAGGTCAAAAGGAACTCGCATCTGAATTTACATTGGGGTAAAGATCGTCTATTTAATAAATGGTGCTGGGAAAATTGAACTGACACCTCCTTACGCCATATACAAGAACAAATTCAAAATGGATTAAAGACTTAAACGTAAGACCTGAAACCATAAAACTCCTAGAAGAAAATATAGGAAGTAAATTTGCAGACATTACCCTGAGTAATATTTTTACTCATACATCCCTGTAGGCAAGGGAAGTAAAAGAAAAAAATGAACATATGGGATTATATCAAACTTAAAAGTTTTTTCACAACAAATGAAACCATTAGTAAAACAAAAAGGCAGCCTACTGAATGGGAGAAGATATTTGTCAATGATATATCTGATAAGGGGTTAATATCCAAAATTTATAAAACACTCGTTCAACTCAACACCAAAAATAACAAACAACCCAATTAAAAAATGGGTAGAGGATATGAAGAGACATTCCTCTAAAGAGGACATACAGATGGCCAACAGGCATATGAAAAAATGTTCAACCTCACTTAGCATTAGGGAAATGCAAATAAAAACCATGAGATACCACCTTACCCCTGTCAGAATGGCTAGCATTAATAAATCAACAAACAACAATTGCTGGCAAGGTTGTGGGGAAAAGGGAACCCTGGTGCACTGTTGGTGGGATTGCAGATTGGTGCAGCCACTATGGAAATCAGTATGGAGGGATCTCAAAAAACTGGAAATGGAACTACCTTATGACTCAGCAATTCCACTCTTAGGTATCTATCCAGAAAAACCCAAGACACTAATTCGAAAAAATATATGCACCCCTATGTTCATTGCAGCGCTATATACAATAGCCAAGACTTGGAAACAATCGAAATGCCCATTGGTAGATGACTGGATTAAGAAACTGTGGTACATTTACACAATGTATTTGTGAGTATTACTCAGCTATAAAGAAGAAGGAAATCGTACCATTTGCAACGATATGGATAGATTTAGAGAACATTATGCTAAGTGAAATAAGTCAATCAGAGAAAGACAAATATCATATGATCTCACTTATATGTGGAATCTAAAAAATTGAATAAAAGAATAACATAA